TTGTTTCAAGGTCCAAGCATAATAAAATAGAAGCCAGTTTTAACTAAGTGCCTACAATAAGCCAGGCACTACTTTCATACATTATCCCATTTAATATGTATAACAACCTTATAAATGAAATAACACAGCCCCATTTTACAGACAGGAAAACTGAGGTTGAGAGCAGTTGAAGCAATTTGCTTAGGGCCACAGAGTGAGTGGTAGAGCCATGATTTAAACTCAGATTAACATCAGAGGCATGACTCCGGTATACCACTGTAACAAGAAAAAAGATGCTCAGAGAACAAAAAGTAACTGTCTAACTGTATGGAGAAGCCTAGATTAAAGAAAGGTAAACCAGCTGATTTTCTGTACGGCTTTCAGAACTTTCACAATGCCAGTGCATGTTACATATCTAGAAGGCTAAAGTTTTTCCCCAAATGAATTTTACCAGAGACCCTTTCCCTTTTAATATAGTTTGAGTATTTAATCCAACAATCTCTCAGTCAAAAGTTAAAACGTTTAAATGGCCTGACCTTAAGCCACCCCTCTTCGTCACATATTGGCAAACTACAAATATTTACAGTTGTGCTGTCCAATGTGGTAGCCGCTAGCCAAATGTGACCAATTATAAATTAATTCGAATTAAATTTAAGAAATTAAGCTCCTTGGTCACACTAGCCACATTTCAAGTCCGTCCAAGAGCTACTACATATGGCTACCATATTGGACACCACAGATGCAGAACATTTCTATCGTCTGAGAAAGTTCTACCCATCAGCACTGGGTTACAGGCTTATTTTTGTTTTTTTAAAGAATATGAGGCCCATGCAATCTTCAGAGAAGTCACACTGTGAGTCATTACACATGTCATTGCCACTGTCCCCCCATAAAACGGAGCTAGGTCAGAGAACCTGGATCGCAAGTCAGCTATCACCACAGTAACATCAAAGCACAGGGGAGGGATAAACAAAAGAGTGGGAAAACCAACAGCAAAGAGGAAGCAGCATCACGCAGCTTGGAGATGAAGCTTGAACTGGGATTCTGGAGTCTGGGTTCTACTCCCTATTATACCAATGATTCATTTTTTAAATGTTTTTTCATGTTTGACCTTGATTCTAATTAACTGACTTATTAAACAAGCCTCTTAGTTTCTTTGGGCCTGGTTTCCTCTTCTACAAAACAAATTTAAGCCAGTCGATCACTAAGATTTCCCCTAGTTCTGTACAGTTAAAACACACACACACACACACACACACACACACACACACACACACACAGAAGGGGAATAAAGATAAAAACTAAAGACAGCAAGATCATTGCACATTGGTGGTAAAAAGTGGCACTCTTGTCCGCTTGCTCCAAGTTCTTTTCCTGAGGATAAGATTTAGATACCAGCAAAGGAAGAAAGATTTAATTCTATCCCACAAATACTTATTGAGCAATTATTTACAACTAGCTCAAGAATATGGAAATAGAACCACAAAAAAATTGACCAGCCCTCAGTTAACACCAAATATGTGGAAAGAATGCAAGACTCACAACACTTAAGGTTGAAAGACTGGTTCGTTCGTGTAATACCCTAAGAAACACAGACACACCTTAAAATCTTGAGGAAAAACAACTAACAAAGTATATAAAAACAATATACAAAGTACGAACATCTGCATAATCAAAAGCATATCCCTTGTTTCTTCACAAAGAAGATAAATAGACGCTACAGGTACTTGGGAACAGGAAGACACCAATTTTGGCCACCCTAATTCTTCCAGAACCTACACTTAATTAGACAGTCCTACATTTTCTGAGTTAAACCTTCTTGAGAGTTATTGGAGTTCATTACATCGACTCCCAACTTGAGCTAGACAGAATAGCATGTAACTGGAATTCCTGTCTCTGCTATTGACCCCACACTTCCCACTTTCAGAGGCACTGCCGGTCCTATTTCCTAGGATCAAAAGGGACAGAAATCCTCCCCCACCCCTGTCCTAAGGATTAAAACAGCTAAGAGGAAAACCTAAAAATGACTTTTACCTCTAGATTTAAAAAGAACCAAGATAAAACGGCCTTGGCCATTTACCTTATGAGAAGCTCAACCACCCAGTGAGTCGCATAACCTAACCTTTCGGTGAATTCCCTCCTTAAAGCCCCGAACCACACACTCCGGGATATCCCGGAGCAGGGGAGAGTAAACCCTTTCGGGTTTCCAGCAAGAGACACAGGGAGAAGGGCTTGCAGCGACTTCGGCTAGGCAGTTTTTCGTACCCCACCTACAAATCCAACGCGGCGCGGAAACCCGGCCGAATTTGAAAACAAACGCTGCGAGGCTCCCGGGCACCACGGGCACGGGGGGTTGGCAAGTGACAGCTCGGCCCCAGGGCAAGAGGCCTGCGGTGGAGCCACCCCGGGGGTCTGCGGGCGGGACAGCGGCGGGAGGGAAGCAGCAGGGGACTGGCGTCTTTCGGTCCCGAAGGTGCGGGACGGGGGCACGGAGGGCGACCCAGGACCCGCGCCGGGGCAGTCCGCCGGCTCTCACCTCTCTTGGGGGCTTTGATCAGAGGCACCCCTGCGGTCCTCTCGCCGTTTTCCTGCTTGTCCTTGTGCTGGAGATCGCCCGGAACGCAGGAGCCGGGGTCGCCATCAGAGCCGCGGTGGTGATGGTGCCTGTGCCGCTCCTTGTGGCCCTTATGCTTGGGCCCGGCGGCCGCGCTCACCGTCAGGGGCGAGAAGGTGAAGAGGGCCGAGGTGCCCGGGGCCGGGAGCGGGGCGGCGACGGCGGGCCCGGCGGGTGCCAGCGAGGGTGGCGGCGGAGGCGGCAGGAGAAGAGGCTCAACGGGGCCTGGGACGGGCGGGGCTGCATTCGTGGGCGGCAGCGGCCCGGGATGTTGGCGGCTGCGACGCCGCCGGTGAGGGGGAGCGAGAGGGGGGTCCTGGCTCGGCCGCCCCCGCTTCTCCTGAGACCCCCCGCTGCTAGCTCGGCGCTGCCGCTTCACTCCCCGCGGCGAGACCCCGGCATGGGGCTTCTCCTTCCCCTCTTTGTCCGGCTCCTCCTGCGCCGCCACCGCCCGTACTACGCGCACCGCTCCGACCTGCGCAGCCATTTCACCCACAAACACACATTTAAATGGCCCGACCGCCCCCCCGTCCGCGCACTGCGCAAGCGCCGCCTGCGCACGGCCCGCCGGGCATTGGAGTCTCTCCCCGGGCCCCCACTCGGCGGCCGCCCTTCGTCCGGAGCTGAACATGCCGGAAGCGGCAGTTCCCCGGGTCTCCCCGCAGGCCGCTCCGACCGACTTTCTATTGTAAAGCGCTCCGGGCCGCGCAAGGCCTCCTGGGAGCGGTAGTTCCGCCGCGCCCCGCGCCGCGTCCCGGGCCCTGTGAGTGGAGGAGCGGAGGGGAGCGTGCGCCGAGTCACGCGTCGGGCCGCGACGCACCCGCCGCTGGGCGGCGACTTGCCGCCAACCGCCGTAACGGCCGAGGCGAGGTTCCGGGCTGTCCGAGTCTGGCGGCGCGTTCTCATCGTCATCTTCCGGTGCCCCTCGGTCACGTTCCGCGGAGTAGGTGGTCTCCATAGCGACTTTTAAGCGTTCTCTTCCTCTCGTCACCTTTGCGTGGGAGAAGAATCGCCAGCCTTTTCACTTGGACGGGACGAAACGAAGGGGAAGGAGGATGCAGGGATAGGCGAGAGGAGGGCGATTGTGCCCTGAATATAATAGGGCCGCCATTCAGGAATGTGTCGCCGCGTCGTGGCAGGCACTGCCATGGTTACAGCTCCAGGTGGGACCAGGCCGGGGCCAGAACCGCCTGGCGGCTGGTGGCGGCCCCGCCAGCCACGTCCCGGCCCCTCGTGGAAGGGCAGAGGGAAAGCCTTCTTTTAAACATGTTTAATACGCGTTTTTTATGTCTTTTCAAATCATGAGGTTGCATAAATTGTCTTTTAAGAGGCCTCCAACTCCTGGGCTCGAGGGGTGAGTAGCAGGGACCACAGGGGCCGGGCTCTGATAGGACTCTTTTTATCTGTTTGGTACTTGATAAAGCTGTTTGGAAAAGTGGATTACAACGATCAACTCAGCGGATCAAATTACTGTGGTTGGATCCCAGCAGTTTTTGCAGAAGTATTACCTACATGAACACTACTGCAATAAAGTTAGCTTTAAAACAAAAAAGTTTACTGAACATCTATTCAGTACGGCGTACTACAATAGACAGGTTACAGTATTTCATGCAAAGTGTCCTATCATTACGTTCCACAATGAAAAACGAATGATGCTTAAGTGATACTGCATGTTTCTGAAAGTTATAAAGTTCTTTTTACATAAAAAGATGTTAAAACATTAGGTGAAGTCTTTGTAATAATAATTACCCACCAACTTATTTGCTATATAAAATTATATTCGAAATAGATTTCCTTAAGGCAGATCTATATTCATACAGAGATTTTTGTTAACTAAAACCTCTGGTTGGATATCAATTGCACATGTTTATAAAGGACCTTTTAGATGAAGAAAATGCTGCCAAAAGATAACTACTATCTTTCGCTTATTATTTTTCTAGAACTGGTCATTGAATGACGCTGGTTGAAACTTTTCAGGAATGTGGTTAAACATCTTGTTAGTCGGTATATCCAAATTAAAAAATTATTGCTATCATCATTTGCAAGTCTGAAAATGTGCAATTTCTCAGCCGGGCTCGGTGGCTCAGTCTGTAATCCCGTGCTTTGGGAGGCTGAGGTGAGTGGATTGCCTGAGCCCGCGGGTTCAAGACCCGCCTGGGCAACTTGGCGAGACCTCATCTCCTACAGTAAATCAAAAAATTAGCCGGGTGTGGTAGCGCGCGCCAGTATTCCAGCTACTTGGAAGGCAGAGGCGGAAGGATCGCCAGAGCCCAGCAGGTTGAGGCAGCGGTGACCCGGAGCGGCCACTGCACTCCAGTCTGAGCAACAGAGTGAGACTCCAACTCAAAAAAATAATAATAATAAACATAAAAAATAAATATGCAATTTCTCTTAAATATTAATTTATCATTTTCTTACTATTAAGTATGTAATTTCTCATTTTCTTACTATTATGATTTCCCACAACCTTTGGGAAGGTGTGCAAACTCTACTTCACTGAGGCAAAAATAACTCCTAGGAAGTAGTCGTCACAATAATTTTGTATTGTAACCACAAGGTGTGTGTTTTGTTTTGTTTTGTTTTAACTCTAGTAGATTCTGACAATGAAGAAATTTGAGATTCAAATCTTGCAAACCTTTTAAAGTTTATATTTATGTAGAAAAGTAAAATAAAATTAACATCCAAAAATGAAAAATAAATTCATTCTAAAACAGTGTTTTTCACGCAGCATTTTCTACGTAATCCAAGTGACAAACTTTTATTTGCCGCCTCCAACCCCATGTAGATGACACAAAAATGCAAAACTGCTGGCACTTCTTTGTATACTGCCTTTCTTGTAAAAGCTATTAATACATTAGCATGTCCTCATTGTTGATATTATTAATATAAAGCACTTATTTTAACTAGGAATATTCTGGTAGTTTTATTTGCAAATGCACTTGAAGCCGTAAATCCAGAGTTTTATTAAATTTTCCAAGTTGGTGGTGGGTTCCTTGGTCCTTTAGGTTTTGGAAAGCGGTTTGCAAAACCTGAGAACAAAAATAAAATTGAGTGAAAAGAGAAAGTTTTTTATATAGAAATGAATACTTGCATTTTAGAGTGCATTATAATGTATGCAAATATGTGGGATTTTTTAAAAGGTTAGGCAACATCTTTGATCAATTTAGTAATAGATTTTATTTTATTTATTTATTCATTCATTCATTTATGTATTTATTTTTTGAATCAGAGTCTCACTCTGTCACCCAGGCTGGAGAGCAGTGGCATGCTCATGGCCACAACAGCCTCATCCTGCTGGACTCTGGTGATCCTTCCGCCTCAGCCTTTCAAGTAACTGGAACCAGAGGCATGTGCCACCGCATCCAGCTAATTTTTTGATTTATTATAGAGATAAGGTCTCGCCATGTTGCTCAGGCTTGTCTCGAGCCCCTGGGCTCAGGCAATCCTCTCGCCTCCACCTCCCAAAGTGCTGGGATTACAGGCTTGAGCCACCACACCCAGCAGTAATAGATTTTAAAAGCATTGTAGTAAAAGCTCAAAGGATAACAATAGAATACTAGTGACATTTTAAATTTGTGGAGCACTTACAAATTCAATAAGGGTAATAATAGGTTGAAGAACAATGGTTATAATAGCCTTTGATAATTTAATATATAATAACCTTTATCTACAATGTTTTACCCACCCCCATACATCAAAAAAATGCTAAGCTGGGGAATCTCAATTGCACAAAAATATAGCACTATTACTTGCAACATTATTGTATTAAATCTAGTTATGCCTTTACATTAGTTCAGAAAGCCTTCAATTTACTAAAAGTTTATGTTTTAAAAGCTTAGAAAAAATAATCCCAAAAAAACAAAGTACTTAAGTAATCATTTTTATTTATTTTACTCAAACTCATGCCCCTCCACCTCAAAGAAGAGGAATGAGGAAATTTTTCACAACTAATGAAAGCTGTTTCTGGATGCTTGCAAAAGACTTGAAGATCGATGACATTGGTTCTTTGTCATTTCAATAACATATGACTTTTCTTTGATGGCGGTATATTTTCAAGGCACTGAGCAACTTTAAGAACTTAAATAGAGAAATGAAGTGTTTGAAATACAGAGGAAGAACAGAGACTAGAAAACCCAAAGATATTCCTAAGCCTTTCATTTTAATTTTATCTTCTTACAAAATGTATAATCTATTTAAAGAATTGATGTAGCCAGGCATGGTGGCTCATGCCTGTAATGCCAGCACTTTGGGAAGTGGAAGCAAGAGGATTGCCTGAGCCCAGGGATTTAAGACCAGCCTAGGCAACTTGGCGAGACCACATCTCTACAATAAATCAAAAAATTAGCCAGGTGTGGTGGCGCACGCCTGTGGTTCCAGCTATTTGAAAGGCTGAGGTGGAAGGATCATTGAGCCCCACAGGTCAAGGCTGCGGTGGCCATGAGCGTGCCACTGCACTCCAGCCTGGGCGACAGAGTGAGACTCCAACTGAAAAAAATAATCATCATAACTTATTTTTTAATTATAACATTTTGAACCTTAGAGTTAACGACATTCAAACAAAAGTTTATAGCTAAAAAAACAGATTTGGAGAGCCTAGTAAAACATGTCGTGAAGGTAACTTAGGAACCATGACCCAGGTGTGGCAGAGATTGTTGCCTCTCTGCCAAAATCTTTCCTTGCTCTTCCTCAAATAGAACTGTACCTGGCAGTTCTATCTGCCCAGCAATATTACATTTCTCAGTCTCTCTTGCACTTTAGTTATACATGTCTAAGTTCTCTTCAAGGGAATATGAGCTGACTGACAATGCCACTTCTAGGGCAGTGCCTTAAGACTGGAGGGAAGCCGGGCTCGGTGGCTCAGCCTGTAATCCTGCACTTTGGGAGGCCGAGGTGAGTGGATTGCCTGAGCCCACGGGTTCGAGACCCGCCTGGGCAACATGGTGAGACCTTATCTCTACAATAAATCAAAAAATCAGCCGGGTGTGGTAGCACGCGTGCCTGTAGTTCCAGCTACTCAGAAGGCTGAGGCGGAAGGATCGCCGGAGCCTGGCAGGTCGAGGCTCCCAGCCACTGCACTCCAATCTGGGTGACGGAGTGAGACTCCAACTCAAAAAAAAGAAGACTGGAGGGAAGGAGGAGGAGGCCACACCTACTCCACATTTTCCTCTTTTCCCGCCATCTGCAATCTGGACGTGACAGCAAACTAATTTTGACCATACAGATAAGAATAGAACCATTAAGCAGCAGTTCTCAAAGTATGGTTCAGGGATTCCTAACACTTTCGGGGTGTCTGCTTTCTGGTTAATAATAATTTTTAGTAGTAATATCCTACCACTAGTTGCTATACTTCTTACACAAAATTATACATGATACTGCTTTAAATAGTATCATAAATATGTATCACAAAGAATAATAGAATGCTTAAAGTCATGTAAAATTATCATTTTAGTTTCTAGCTTATACTTAGTAACAGTTGGGTAAGTATTTCCTTGAAGCTGTCAGGATTGTGCTTCATATACCGTTGGGTGAGTTATGTAAGATGAGAGCAGTAACTGCTGTTCTTTTTATGACACTGTATGTTTTTTATAACTGTGCTTTAGTTATGACCCGGAATATTACAGCATCTCTGTTTCTTCATTTAGCTAGTCATAGTTATTTACTACATCCCAACATAATAATTTGGTTACCTAGCTTTATTTTCCACAGATGCTAGACAATTTAGTTCTATGTAAGATGTTAAGGGATAGTTGAGATTAAAAATAAAGACAAATTGCATGAAAAGAATATGAATGCAGCCTGAAATTGTATTTAAAGTTGTATCTGTTATACTATAAATGAGTAATCTAGATAATATGCTATAAAATAACACACATACCAAAATTCAGAAAGGAGCTGGAGTTATTTGACAGATCTGATTCTGCAGGCTTGCTTGGTGAGGAGGAATTACAGATACCTGTAATCAAAGGAAAAAAATGTAAGGGAAAGACTGAAGACAGACTCAGGTAACTGTTGATCAGATCACATAATTGTTAAGATTAAACATTTCCTCCAGCGTGGTTAATACTCCCACATCAACATATCACTATCAAATATTAACAAAATGTAGGTGCTTACAAATGGGTTAACACTATAATCTTCTCTCTGTGTTTTTAGCTTTATTTTCTTTGCAAGCAGTATACAGTAAAACCCACCACTAAAGTAAATTGCCAGAGGAATAATTTAATATATAATGAATCAGCTGTTTGGATTCACATTTTAGCTTTGAACTAAGTTTTACATTGCCCTCTGACCACTCTTACTACTTTTTTTTTTTTTCAGTTGGAATTTCACTCTGTCGCCTAGGCTTGAGTGCAGTGGCACACTCAAGGCCACCCCAGCGTCGACCTGCTGGACTCCAGCAATCCTGCTGCCTCAGCCTTCCAGGTAGCCGGAACTACAGGCGTGGGCTACCCTGCCCGGCTAATTATTTGTTGTAGAGACGAGGTCCCTCCAGGTTGCCCGGGCTGATCTCAAACCCGCGGGCTCAGGCAGTCCACCCACCTCAGCTGCCAAAGTGCTAGAAGTACAGGCTGAGCCACTGAGCCCGGCCTATCGTAGATATTTTTTATGCTGCCTGCCTTGCATTCATTCCCTCTTCTCCTGGTAACGGAACTTGGATTTTCCTTTAAGAAACGCCCCCCAACTTTCAGCTCTCATGCTTCCAGAGGAGCTGATTCTACTTTTAGGTCAAGGAAATTACCTATAATTTGGGCTGGTTTTCTATTGGTATGTTGGCATGGTCAGATGTGTAGATCTGACCTCTTTTTTTTTTTTTTTTGCAGAGATGAGGTCTTGCTGTATTGCCTAGGCTGGTCTCAAACTTACGGGCTCAAACAATCCTCCCACCTTGGCCTCCCAAAGTGCTAGGATTACAGACAAAGTCACTGTGCCTGGCCTAGGTCTGACCTCATTCCTCACTAGACAGTGTCCACATGTAACAAGTGTTAAATATTAGATATGACACTGTCCTGCCTAATTAGAACATTTAGTATACTGGCAGTAATTGGTTCAGGGATGGGCCAAGGAACCAAGCCAAGAAAATCAGATCCAATCAGCACTAGTCACCAGACTGTTGCTTGAGCAACCAAAAAAGAGCTTTTTTTTTTTTTTGCTCATAAGTCTAAACTCACATGGTGAAAGCCTGCCTACGACAGAACTAACACAGAGTGAAACTAATCTGAGACACTAGAATGAGAGATTAGGTTCTAATTACATCATTTGAATCCTTGTTTACAAGCCAATAAATTCCCCTTTTCTGCTTAAGTCAGCTTAAAGTTTAGTTCTCTGTCAATTGCAACTGAAGGATTTCTGAGCAATTAAAGTTTCCCACCAGAAGTTGGCATCAGGCATCACAGCTGACAGCTTCTACCCTTGTCTCCCTATAGTCCATTTTCTATACAGCAGCGAGCATGATCTTTCTATACTTGCTGTGAAACACGTTTAAAAATATAAAAAACAGGGCATGTAACATCTCTGCCTAAAACCCTTTTACGGCTTCCCATTACACTTAGGATAAACTCTAAAATACTCAGCATACATGACCCATAAGAATCCAACTTCTACTATCCTATCTTTCCGGCCCCACCTCACTCCTCTCCTCTTTACTTACTGCCCTGTGGCTAGGAGGGCCTCCTTTTGAGTTCCTACAACACATCAAACTCACACCTCAGAGCTGATTGTATCTGGAGTCCTCCTTTCCCTTCTCTTTGCCTGGCTGGCTGCTGCTTCATTCAGATTCAATTGTTTCCTTAAAAAGGGCTTCCTGGGACAGGCACAGTGGCTCAAGTCTGTAATCCCAGCAATTTGGGAAGCTGAGGTGAATGGATTGCCTGAGCCCCTAGTTCCAGAACAGCCTGGGCAACTTGGTGAGACCTCATCTCTACATAAAAATAAAAAAATTAGTCGGGTGTGGTAACGCACGCCTGTAGTTCCAGCCACTTGGAAGACTGAAGCGGAAGATGGCTGGAGCCCAGCAGGTTGATGCTGGGGTGGCCATGAGCATGCCACTGTATTCCAGCCTGGATGATGGAGTGAGACTCCAACTCAATAAAAAATAAAAATAAAGGGCTTCCTGGACCACTCATTCTAAGTGGATCCCCTTTGTTATTGTCTCTCATAATTACCCTTTTATTTCCTCCATAGCTTTTGTCACACAGTGTGTTATTATGTATTTATTTGTGACTTGTTTAATATCTGAATCTCTCACTAGACTTAAGTTCCACAAAGGCATAGTCTTGTATTTTTTCTGTTCACCATCATACACCCAGTGCCTTGCTTGCAGAATGCCTGGCACGTAGAAGGCACTCAGCAAATATTCGTTAAATGAATGAATAAATGGCATTAGGCTCAGATGCTAGCTTAATATAACAGATGAAGAATCCTAATTTCATTAAAGGACCAGCTTTAACTACAGACCAGTGAGAGATTCTGGACACAGGAAAAACATGGAATTCCAGAGTCATGAACCATCTGGAAGGAACAGACAGATCAATCTAAAGCTTTGGGATCAGTTTTTGGGGCCAGATGTTCTTCATGTAAGGACAAAAGACCAGAGGATCAAGGTAACTGAAAAACAATTACAGCACAGCCTTGATCCAGAAAATTCCCTGGGAACACTAACTCAGAAGTAAGAGTTAGGGCTGGGTACGCTGGCTCAACCTGTACTCCCAGCACTTTGGGAGGCCAAGGCAAGAGGATTGCCCGAGCCTGGGGGTTTGAGACCAGCCTGGGCAACTTGGTGAGACCTTGTCTCTACAGTAAATCACAAAAACTAGCTGGGCATGGTGGCATGCGTCTCTAGTTCCAGCTACTTGGAAGGCTGAGGTGGAAGGATCACCTAAGCCCAGCAGGGTGAGGCTGCGGTGGCTGTGAACGTGCCACTGCACTCCATCCTGGGCAGCGAGAGAGAGACTCCAACTCAAAAAAAAAGAAAGAAATAAGACTTAGTCTCAGAGTTCCACCATATCTTGAATCTTTGATATCTCCAGGCAGGGTCAGAGCTAGAGAGAGCAAACTGCTTCATGAGCTAAACTGATCAAACCAATCTTTAGCTGGCTGTCTAGGTCACTTATTTCTTTGCATTTGGCTAGTTTATTCCCCCTGCTGCCTACCATAATTTCCTTGTGAAATGTTTACATTCTCTTGACTGACTTTAGGATATGTTTTCCAGCCATATTTTAGCCATCATGAGTGAGAAATCATTTCAGAAATCAAGTATGGCAATGATAACAAACGAGCTCAAGAATCTGGAGCTTATGGATCGGCAGATAGAGTAAAAACCCACAAGAAAAGAGTACAATTCCACTCTAAACCTTCTTAGTTGGGCTGTGCCTTCAATGTTCTTTGTTCCTCCCCATAGGACCAACATAATATCAAGTAACTGGTTGGTCTCTCATGATTAACCAAATGGATCAAAAAACTTTAAAGTATATTGCCATGTTTTATATAGTTTGTATTTGTAAATTAGGACTTCTAAGATGATTTCCCACAGTTTCAGGACTTTATAGGTTTGTTTTCATTACAATATAGCAAAAGTGGTAAGCAACAGACTTTTATTGCTAATCATCTTGGTAAAAATGGAAATGTGTCAATGCTTATTTCATGCAGTCAACACATTTGTTTTACAATATGCTTTGCTGTGATTATTTTCAAAGAAAATGCATCTGAGGTTAGACTGCTGAGAATTTTAAATAACACACTTGTATGGCAGCATCTTAGGATGGATAGAAAGTGCCACTGTACTAATTATTATTTCTGTCTATTAAACAGGAAACTTAGCACCCCCATATTTCCTGCCCAATATGAGCATCGTGGAGCTCAGTAAAGTACAAGACCTAGGAATGATTGTTTGAATCCACAGGACCCTAGAGAGGCTCTGTTTAGGAAGAATATTGTTAATTTTTTCACAGGAGGTTATATAAAGAATAATTACATAATTATGAAAGTGATATTCTAAAAGACAAATACAAAGAAACTTACTCTTTTTCATGTTTCTCAAAATTTTCAAACTCTACAAAAGTGAAGAAAGAGAAAATATTAGTTTTTTTCCTGTGAAATCCGAAATACTTTAATGAAGTAGAAATATAGACTTAAGTCAAAAGACTTAATCTCCTTTCAAATAGCCATGAAAATGCACAAAATTATTTTTCCACCTTGCCGTTTTTAATTCAGTGCCAAATTTCCACTTGATTTTTTTTTTTTTTTTTGAGGTGGAGTCTCACTCTGTCACCCAGACTGGAGTGCAGTGGCCGCTCCCGGCTACCGTAGCCTCGACCCACTGGGCTCCAGCGATCCTTCCACCTCAGCCTTCCGAGTAGCCGGAATCACAGGCATGCGCTACCATGGCCGGCTGATTTTTTGATTTATTGTAGAGATGAGGTCTCGCTGCCCAGGCGGGTCTCGAACCCGCGGGCTCAGGCAATCCACTCACCTCAGCCTCCCAAAGTGCGGGATTACAGGCTGAGCCACTGAGCCCGGCTTCCACTTGATTTTATCTTGCTGTTTTTACCACCCATACTAGTATCACACTACACATTTGAAAATAACATCAGAATATCAGGGAGGAAAACTGAAATTCCTACTTCTCTCCATCGTCAGGATCATTTCAGAACCCATAGTGGCTTCTGAATATATCTGTGATACACAGTCATTCCTATTGTAGCCAAGAATTTTTGCCATTCATATTCTGTGCTCAGTTTACTAGGGCCCACTTCTATTCTATTAGCCATGATACTTCCTGCTACCTCCTTTATGGCAGAGTCTCCAAGTTATCTCTTCAAGGAACCTACCCGAATTTCTTCTTTACTTGACATTTCCGCAGCATGCATGTTTTTAAGATGCTTCATGGTATTTTGTTCTTCTTGCTAACTTTCATATTGCTTCTCATAGAGGTGTACTGTTCGAATAGATTTTAACTATACTCTTGCAGGAGCCGATAGATGTCCTTTATAACATTTCTGTTTTCCTAACACCTAATAGAAATATGCTCTTTCATAGACTAGATATTTAAAATCAATTATTTCTTTGTAAAATTTTCAGGTTTTTTTAAAAAGTAGATAATTTATAATTCAAAAAATCCTAGGAAAAATACTCTCATCCTTGTCTTCCATCTGATACTCCCCCTGTAGATAACCACTGTTAGTTTCTTATATATCCTTCAAGCATTGCTTATCAGTATGTAAGTAAATACACATATAGATCATATTTTCCCCCTTTTAGGCAAAAGTTGATAAATTATATCTAAATATATCAAGAGAGTCCTCATTCTTTTCAGCTGCATAGTATTCCATTCTATGGATATATCATGATTTATAATTTATTTAACCAGTTCCCCTAATGACTAATATTTACATAGTTTCCAGTCACCTTCTCTTATAAATAATGCTGCAATGAATATCTATATGCATGTCATTTCATGTGTGTGCAAGCATATTTGTAGGATAAATTTTACTTCTAGTAAAATTGTTGAGCCAAAGGATATATGCATTTGTAATTTTGATAAATTGCTCAATTTCCCTCCATAGAAATTATACCACTTGGCATTCCTACCAACAATATAGGAGTGTGCTTATTTCCCCCATAGCCTCCTAAAAGACAGGGTAATCAAACTTTTGGAATTTGTCATTCTGACAGATAAAAAACAAATTGTTGCTATACTTTTAATTTGTATTTCTCTTATTATGAATGAGGTTGAATATATCCAATGTTTATTTATTTTCTTTAAATTATCTGATCATGTATTTTTGCCCATTTTTACTTTAAGCTCACTATGTTCTGTGAATTTATAAGACCTCTTTATATATGAGAAAAATAACCCCTTTGGCTACAGTGCCTCTTGCAGATTTTTTTCTCCAATCTATTCTTTGTCCTTTTATTTTAAGATGATTTTTTTTGGTCATGCATAAATGTTCTCTTTTAGTTAGTTGAATTTATATATCTCTTTTCTTATGGCTTCTGAATTCTGAGTCATCATTCTAAGGTCGTTCATACTCCTGGATTATAAAGGACTCTTTCCAGTTCTTTGAGTATTCCCATGAGTTGAGGGTATTTGTTTTTAACGTTTAAGTCTTTCAGCCATCTAGAATTTATCCTGGTATAGATGTGAGGAATCGACCCTACTTTTTTTTTCCTAGTTATCTATTTGATCTAACAACAGTTATTAAATTATCCATCTTTATCACCTGATCAAAGACACTACCTTCATCAGGTACTAAATTACTACATATATTTGGATCTATTTCTGGACTTTCCCTTTTATTCTGTTGGTATATATTTCTTTTCATACACCAATACCATACCATTTTAATTATTGAGGCTTTACAATATTTTAGTATCTAATAAGGTGACCCTCCTTTCATTGCTTTTATTTTTATTTGTAGTTTTCTGACTGTTCTTGCTCCCTCCATCCCATATGAACTTTGGAACCAGTTTGTCTAATTCTAGAAATAAACAAGTTGGTAGTTTTATTGGTTGTCTTTTAAATGTATAAACCAACCTTAAGGAGAAATGAATTCTTAACTAAGTTGTATTTTTTCTTCTTTTTGGATTCCTTCTATTCATTTGGATTGTTGTAAGATCAGCAGTCAGTTTTAATAAAGACATTTAGTCTAATATTCCATCTTAATGCTGGGGAGGCAGAAAAGCTTCAGTAACAGAAAATCTCTGGCATGTTTCCTAAAACTCCTGTCTTCTTTACCTTACTCCTTGTGAAACTTTTTCCAGGAGTCTTTAATGTCTGTTTTGAAGATGTTGAATTTTCCATGGTGTCAGGACAGCTAGTAGAAAACGTTTCTATGGATTGAGCCTGCATACCTTAAAAAGAAAAAGGGGGGGGGAAATCTTTTGTGGCATGGCTTCTTGAGCCTTCTAGTTATATATAAGTATATATTCAGTAATTCTCTGCTTAGCTTTTAAAGCATTGTTTTTGCTATATATTATGGACTCCTAAAATTTATTCTCCTTTTTAAAATTTGTTTATTTTCTTGATTTGGAGTCTCACTCTGTCACCCAGGTTGGAGTGCAGTGGCATACTCACAGTCACCCCAGCGTTGACCTGCTGGGATCCGGCAATCCTTCCACCTCAGCCTTCCAAGTAGCCGGAACTATAGGCATGCACTACCACTCCCAGCTAATTTTTGATTTATTGTGGAGATGAGGTCTCGCCAAGTTACCTGGGCTGCTCTTGAACCTGTAAGCTCAGGCAATCCACTCCCCTCGGCCTCCCAAAGTGCTAGGATTACAGGCTGAGCCACCAAGCCCAACCAATTTATTCTTTAATTCATCATTCTTTGTACCTTTTCTATTTAGGTCTTACTTTACTGTTAATATTTTAACATTCTCATTTCTGTAGTTTTTTTGGAGGAAAAGTACTACCACTTACAGTCTTCATCAGCAAGAAAGAAGGACTCTAGAGTTCTTTCTGGGAGTGGAGGTGGAGGGGAAGAAGAACGATCTTGATGTAGATCTGTAATAAGAAAAGTATACAATAGAGTAAAAAAATCCATCAATTAAAAGTCATAAATCAAGACCCTTTTTGGCTTTGTGTAATGTTTTCAATTAATCTTAACCTACAACCCACAAATTAAAAAGTATCTGAAATATGGCTGGAACCTCAAGAACTTGTTTTTCTGCTTCTTTAGCCAATGAGCCTATGATTCACCAAAAACTTATACATCACTTCAGAAGTATTACAAAGACTTTGACACTGAATTTAATCAAGCTTCTAGTTCTAACACTGTTGTACATGAAATCCCAGGGATGGGGGATTCCAAGATGGCGCCATCAGAGTCGATCAGAGTGTGTGCATCTCTGTATAAGTGAGTGTGCCTAAGGATGAGTTGGCATGCAAGTGGGTGTGTGAGTGTCTGAATCTGGGCACAGGAACAAGCGGCCTGGACTCTACTGCTGAGGCAGCTGCCACAGCACTGTTGCTCGGATTCCAGTGCTTTTCGAAGTGCAGAGGCAGGCACCATTTTGGGGATTTTATTTGGAAGAAAGTGACTGACTCAGCCGCTTCACGGGGCACCTGCAGTCCAGCCCACCTCCACAACCTTCAGTGCCAGGTCAGATGCTGGCAGTGGGGATTGCGGAGAAAGTGTAGTGAGGGAATCAGTCACGAGTTCACATCACAGAAGAAGAGGAGCACTGCCACCGTCTTTGTCCTGGAACCCTGGAAGAGACATGCTCCTGCCTGCTCATTTGAACAACAGAGCTGCATCCTGAGACTGAGGAGCGAATTCAGCACCTCTCTGCGGTTGATCACCGTTAACCCAGGGAGGATACCCCAGATGCATCATCCCTGGAGGAACAGAGCCACTGCGAAGTTCCAGTCATCCCATCCCCCAAACTGGACTATTCATGGGACTATGGGTACAATTGAAGGAGAAGGATCCAGCCCACAGCAGATGGGTAGAGATGAGTTTTGAACTAAACTCCCTTCCCTTAGCAGTCTGCAAGGTGACCCGCGCGGGGATCGGCACCAGTCCAGGGAGGGCTGGACACAGGTGGAACTGTTGGGAGTGGTGTGAGGCCTCCCCTTAACTGCATGGTGAGCAGGAGGGCAGGTCTAGAGGCCAGAGCCCCCTTCCTCCTGCTCCAGCCAAGAGCAGTGGTGCTTGGGCCACACCGGTAAAAAAAGAAACCTGACGTTTCAAAAACTGCCTTGAGGACACTCAAGGATCACAAGGTTTTTGTGTTTGTTTGTTTGTTGTTTTTTTCCTTGCTCTATAATTTTGGAGCATGTGTGTGTTCTTTTTTTTTATGAAAGGGTATATATGAGGGTGAATATGTCTTAATTTTGTCCGTTTTCTTTGTGTTTTTTTTATTATAGGTTTGTCTGTTTATTTGTTTTTCCAAATACTTCTTTCTCTTCATTAACTTTTCTTTTCCTTTCTCTCTATCTTAGTTCTTTTCCTTTCCCTTATGTTATGTTTGTACTCAGGGTATACATATGTTCCCATCACATGGACATACTGTGAAGTGGTGGGAAGTGGGTCCCGGGGGCCCACATCTCAGTCAGCAAACCTTGTGATCTGCAGATAGCTTCTGAATCTTAACTCCCCCTACTACATCTTTTTCAAATCTCAAAACTGCAAGAAGACAGTACAGCCCCCCACCCCATGCCCAGCTTCAAAACCAAACAAATGCAGAGGCTCTACCTAGGGAAGAATAGGGGGTTGAGCAAACAGAAGTGAAAGTTGTTCCCTTTCTCACTGAGTAACAGCATTAAAGAGAAAATAAAAATCTGTCACAAATGAAGAAAAATAACAGAAGAACACAGTTAACCCACAGAGCCCTAAAAAGATATCACCAGAGAATACAGACTTTGGAACTCAAGCAGTGAAGAGTGCCCAGAATGGTCTCAGACTACAAATGCAGACATCAAGGGATGGATGGAGAGGGTGAATAAGAACCAAGAAATGTAAGAAGAACAAATGAAATAAATGATGACAGAGATGGTGGCCATAAAAAACACCATCCATGAAATAAATAATGAACTGACAAGCATGGAAAGCAGAATTAACCAAGCAGAAGAAAGAATCTCGAAAACCAAAATATGGAACTAACCCAATCTGTTAAAAACGTAGAAAGGAAGTTTAAAAAGACAGGACAAAGCCTCCAAGAGATGTGCAATTATATTAAGAGGCCAAACATATGCCTGATTGGTATATCTGAAGCAGAAAGGGAGACAGAGAACACATTGGAACAAACATTTCATGAAGTTACTCAATAAAACTTCCCTCATCTCATCAGACACAAGACTATCCAAACACAAGAGATTCAGAGAACCCCGGAATTAAATGAGAAGACCAACTCCTAGACACATTAATTCACTTACACGAAAGGTAGGTAGAAAAGAAAAAATCATAAAGGCAATGCAAGAGAAATGTCAGCAGAGAGGCAACCCCTTTGAGTCCCCTCCTGCTCTGGGAGCTTTTCTGTCCTCTCAATAAATCTTGCTTTAAAAAAAAAAAAGTATAGCAGCAGACTTATTTACAGAAACTCTACAGGCTAGAAAGGACTGGAGTCTAATCTTCAAAGTTCTCAAACAAACAATTCCAACCAAGAATTTCCTACTCAGCTAAGCTTCATCAGCAATGGAGAATTAAAATCCTTCCCAGACATCTAATCCCTAAGAAGTTATGCTGCTTGCAGACCAACTTTACAGAGGATGCTTAAGAAGGTATTAAGCACAGAAGAAAGAAAAAAAAAACAAAACATACACTTCACAAAAGTACAGGAAAACAGAATCAACAGAGCATACATCATGACTGCAAAATTGAAAACACATCAATTCAAAAGTTAAAAGGAAACAAACAACAAAACTTTATAGGAGCCTCATGACAAGGATAAACTCTCACATTTCAGTAAGCAGCTTGAATGAACAGACTAAATGCACCACTGAAAAGACACAGAATGACAAACTGGATAAAAAAGCATACCCCAAAATATGCTGCCTCCAGGAAACACATCCCACTACAAATTCACAGATTCAAAGTTAGAGGGCAGAAAACAAACTTTCAGGCAAACAGAAAACCAAAAAAGGCAAGAGTTGCAGTTTTAATATCAGAAAAAACAACTTTTAAGCTATAAAAAATTTAAAAAGATACAGAAGGACACTACATAATGATAAAAGGTTCAATGCATCAACAAGAATTATCCATCCTAAACATATATGCATCTAACACAGCAGCACAAGGTTTTATAAGGCAAATACTAAGTAAACTAAAAAAAAAGATATTTACACTAGCACTATCATAACTGGGAACTTAAATACCCCACTAACGACCCTAGATAGACATTGAGGCAAAAAAATAAAAAAGGACATCTGGAACCTCAACTTGATGCTTGACCAAATGGACTTAATAGATACCTACAGAACACTCCACCCAACAACCACGGAATATAGATTCTACTCATTGTCACATGGAACATATTCCAGGATTGACCACCATAAATCAAGCATAAAGAAATTCCATAGTCAAGCTCGGTGGCTCAGCCTGTAATCCTGCACCTCTGGGAGGCTGAGGTGAGTGGATTGCCCAAGCCCATGGGTTTGAGACCCACCTGGGCAGGCGAGACCTCATCTCTACAATAAAATCAAAAAATTAGCCGGGCGGGGTAGCATGTGCCTGTAATTCCAGCTACTCAGAAGGCTGAGGCAGAAGGATCGCCGGAGCCCAGTAGGTCAAGGCTGCGGTAGCTGGGAGCGGCCACTGCACTCCAGTCTGGGCGACAGAGTGAGACTCCAACTCAAAAAAAAAAAAAAAAGAAATTCTATAAGATTGACATACTGCCATGTACCTTCTTAGACCACAGTGGAATAAAAATAAATATCTCCACCAACAAGATGCCCCCAAAACACACAAAGACATGGACACTAAACAGCACAATGCAGAACAACTCCTGGGTTAATACAGAAATAAAAACAAATTAAAAGATTCTTGGAAACAAATGAAAATAAAGACACATCTTACCAAAACCTCTGGAATGCCATTAAATCAGCACTAAGAGGGAAATTTATAACTCTATGCACACACATCAAGAAAATAGAAAGATCACATGTTAGTAGCCTAACAAATGACCTAAGGGAGGTGGAAAGGCAAGACCACCAAAACCCTAACTTTAGCAGAAGAATCTAGATCACCAAAGTAAAAGTCCAAATATGGGACATAGAAGACAAAAATATTATAGAAAAAATTCAATAAAACAAAAAGCAACTGAAAGAATAAGATTGATGGACCCTTAGCCAGAATGACCAAGAAAAAGCCCAAATAAACACAATTAGAAGCACAAAAGATCAAGTCACAACTGTCTCTGATGTAAGATTATCAAACATTACTATGCCTGTATGGAAACAAACTCAAAAACTTAAATGAAATGGAGGACTTTCTGATATCACACAACCTCCCAAGGTTGAAACAAGAAGAAATTGACACCCTAAATAGACCAATAACAACCCAGGAAATTGACTCCATTATAAGAAAATCACCTACCAAAAAAAAACCCAAAAAAACAAACAAACCCTGGACCAGACAGCTTTCCAGCAGGAATCTACAAAACATACAAGGAAGAGCTGATACCAATTCTACTGAAAATTTTCCAGGCAATCGAGAATGATGAAACTCTCCCCAAATCATTTTATGAAGCTAACAGCATACTGATAACTTAACTGGATGAAGACACAACAAAGAAAGAGAATGACAGGCCAATATCCCTGATGAACATAGATGTAAAAATTCTCAACAAGATTCTAGCAGATCAGGTCCAACACATCTCAAAAATCATCTGCCATGACCAAGTAGGCTTCATCCCCAGGATTCAGGGCTGGTTCAACATCTGAAAGATCATAAATGTGATTCAGTACATCAACAGATGTAAAACAAGAACTATATGTTTATATCATTAGAAGCAGAAAAAGCTTTTGACAAAATCCAACATTCGTTCTTGATAAAGACCCTTAAA